TGTGATTGTAAGACAATTTATTTGATCAAATTAGTGTTAATTTGTGAAAGTCCATTTCATTACTTAATATATTTAAATTATTTTGTTAAATTCCGCCACCATAATCATGTGTGGGACTTAGGGCAGAGGAAGGCCGAAAAAGAGATGGATGGACTGTGTGAAAGATGATATGGTAAGACAGGAAGTAAATAACGCGATGACTGCGAACAGGGATGAATGGAAGCGAAAAACATATTACGCCGACCCCAAATAAATGGGATAAGGAAGAAGCAGATGATGATGATGATGATGATATCATGTGTGTGGACTACAAAGTTTATTTACATTGTGTGTGTGTTATGTAGGTGTCTATGTCTAACATTAAGTGAAAATCCAGTGCATGAACAACGATGATGATGACAAACGTGCCACGCACGTTTGTCATTCAAGTAATCGTTTGGTATCTTATTGTATTTTTTTATACCCATTCCATAAAAGACACATTGACTTTTTCTAAACAAAATAATATAGATCCATTAATATAAGACAAGACTTTGACATTATGTTATAGTCGAAAACATATATAAACAAAGTGATAATCCTTGAAGCTGTCTGCATACAAATTTATAGCATTACATATATAAATATTACAATGCAAACGTCGTCCGTTCGCAGTGATGTATAACAAATATATACACGTCTTAGAATGCGAACTGCTGTGCATTCATTTATTGTGATTGCAACATACCTGTGGTATTGTGTATTGAATTTATATAATTCACATTCCAACGATCAGATGGAAATTTTCCTTGCTTTTTCAATTAAATATGATTAGCATATGCCTCCCTCTATATAGTTAAGTACAACAGTTTTAAGATGTAAATATGGTTACATTCAGTTTTAAGTTTATATTGTACTAGCTTTTGCCCGCGGCTTCGCTCGCGTTAATTTATCCCCTTAGGGGTGGAATTTATCAAAATCCTTTCTTAGAGGATGCCTACGTCATAGTAGCTTTATGCATGCAAAGTCTCAGCCCGATCGGTTTAATATTGACAAAGTTTCATACAAACTTTCATGCTCAATTTTATCCCCTTGGGGGTAGAATTGATCAAAATCGTTTCTTAGCGGATGCCTACGTCATAACATCTACCTGCATGCCAAATATCAGCCCGATCCGTCCAGTGGTTTGGGCTATGCGTTGATAGATCACTATGTCAGTCACCTATGAGTTATATATATTTAGATTAATTGAATAAATAAATAAATACTAAGTAATAGGCGTGGTGGGGATTTAAAGAATTAGGTGATACAAAATTATCTGATTCTTCCAATTTACTACTACTAGTATTCCATTAATACTATTAATATATTTAAATCATATAATAATACGGCGCTGTGTGAATGTAATATGAAATGTGAATTGTCCTCAGATATTATTATTAATATTTTTTGCCAAAACAATTCATAAAGATCTTATGTAATGAGTACTAGACAACTGATTGATATACTACTATACCTTTTTTTGTACATAACATACATAGCAAACTCCCAGGCCGATACAAACAATCATACTCGAGAATAAAATGGTTGGAATCGCGCGAGGAATGAATCCGCGACCATCTCAAATAAAGCGAAGTGCTAAACTGTTAGACACAACCGAGGTCGTTAAAAAATTACTTCCTTGCGATAAAATCTATATCAAGTTTCATTAAGATCCGTTCAGACGTTTAGTAGTGAAATGGTAAGTGATTGTCAAATCACACCGAGAGATATATATGATTTCGTACTTATAATATATGTATGTATTGAAATAAACAAGAGAAAACTTTATATCTCAGATAATCGTATTCAGAATATATCCTTTAATTATGAAACAGAGATATTTATTCGATGTCTGGGTTACGAATATTCGAAATGCGTTTCAGGCGATCTTGTGTAGGGAGAATACCAATACATAGTTAAATTGGTAAGAGAAAAGGTAATAATCTCACAGAAAGAAAGACACTTTCGTATTTGTAATATCTGTATGTATTGAATTAAACAAGAGAAAAGTTTATATCTGAGATATTGGTATTCAGAATGTATCCTTTAATTATGTAACATAAATATTCATTAGATGTCTGGGTTATGAATATCCGAAATGCATTTCAAGGGATCTTGTGTACGCAAAATAGCAATACATAGTTAAAATGGTACGTGAAAGAGTAACAACCCCACAGAAAGATAGACATTTCGTATTTGTAATATCTGTATGTATTTAAATAAAGAAGAGGATAGTTTATATCTCAGATATTGGTATTCAGAATGTATCCTTTAATTATGTAACAGAGATATTCATTAGATGTCTGGGTTATGAATATCCGAAATGCGTTTCAAGGGATCTTGTGTACGCAAAATAGCAATACATAGTTAAAATGGTACGTGAAAGAGTAACAACCACACAGAAAGATAGACACTTTCGTATTTGTAATATCTGTATGTATTTAAATAAAGAAGAGGAAAGTTTATATCTCAGATATTGGTATTCAGAATGTATCCTTTAATTCTGTAACAGAGATATTCAATAGATGTCTGGATTACGAATATTCAAAATTTTGCAACGCGTTACGAGGGATTTTGTGTAGGCAGAATACCAATACATATTTAATGTGGTATGTGTTTTCATTCCACACGTATAAGTATCTTAAACTATCAGTCCGAATAATTTGCAGGTGGTAAACATTCTTTTAACGAGAAGTCTAGAAGAAACGCAGATCTACTTGTTACATCTGTACTATTTTAAGAACGCCAAACTATTTATATAACTCGCTTAGTAATAAACTGTACTAAATAAAAAAAATAGTATAAATGTAAAGTAAAATATTACCTAATTGCTAAATTAATACCTTTAAAAATTACATCATTACTGAAGTGTTTTTTAGTGCGAAGTAATATGGGAGAGTTTTTTTTTGCTTTAGCATTCTCTACCAGCCAATTTTTATAGGAGTAGATACTCGTAGACGTACATGATATATTATCCGACACTTATAGTATCTTAACTTATATTTAAATAACTTCCTTTTTACGAATTATGATTAATATGCTTTGATATAGAGATAGATGGGCCCTGAATATAATTATGAACTACTTTTTCTAGAGAAAATAATTTCGGAATGGGGAGAGTTAACGAGAGGAGATAAAATAGTAACTATAAACACAATACACAGATTATCAAAATGTATAGACAATATATAGATAAAAAATATAAACGCGAGTAAAGCCACGGGTACAAGCTAGTAAATAACTAAAAAGTAAAAGACCAAAGACACAAGAGAGATGAATAGACCATTATTATTATGTCAGTAGAGAGTCCGAGTAGGCAGCGAGCCAAGTAATCTGTTACTTAGATGCAGGCTCACCACAATGCCCGCATTTGTCATACCCATTCTGTTATCTATGCTATTATTCTCAATTAAATATGTGATTATTAAATTAAATACATACGGGCAGCTTTTATAACACAATTTATAGAAAATATTTTGATATTTATACAATTGGAATGTCAAACAAACCTATGTTAAGTCGTAACGGTAGTTTATATAGCTATTGTACATTAAAGTTTAAGTTTAAGTTAACCAGTTTTATTTATTTTTTAGCAAGCCAGCCGTCTCCCCTGGAAACCACTGTGTGAATTTACCAAATAGCGTGACTCCCTGCTCATCCTATCATCCTTCACTGGTGCCTCGCCAGTGTTCACCGTTAACGTTGGCAGCTGCACTATTTCAACCTCATTCATAAAAAAACTGTCATCTATATGCATAAAATATATATAGGCGACGATTATTATAGATATATATATATATATATATATATCAATAAACTATAGACACCACGGAATTATGTGACATCCAGTGTACCATACTGCAATTCTCAAGAACGAAGATTTTATGCCTCTATTACGCTATAATTCCAATGCTTCACCTTACAAGCGAAACACATCTTACGAGTACAAGGCAAGCTGCTTAGCGACTGAAATAGGTAACACGGAGGCACCCAACTATACTACACTTTGTACAAAGTCTTCTTCAGTATATTAATTTGTATAAAAATTGATTTAGAACTCGTAATAGTTATTGCGCGAAAGGTTAACAAACATCCGTCCTTACAAACGCAAAAAAAGCAAAAAATTTTAAAGCTCTTATTGAGAAAAATATTACATATAAAAACCAAAGTTTTCGACGTCAGTTGGATGCCGTCTGGAGTATCCGGCACAGATGTCACTGATGTCAAAGACACGGCTTGGCCGCACTCCAACTATTGGGGTGTGTGGTAACATACTGCCTTTTGTGTAATGTAATGTAACCTTTGGTAATTCAATACAAAAATTTATTACACTATTCTTGACGGCCTCGGTGGTCTAGCGGTTTGGCACACCGATTTACTTCCGATGGTCGCGGGTTTGACTCCTCGCACGGTGCAATTGTATTCATGAGTGTGATAGTTTGTATCAGTTTGGGTGTTTTCTACGTACATTATGTATATTTACAATAAAAAATATCTAAGTATCAGTTGTCTAGTACCCATAATACAAGCTCTGCTTACCGTGGGTTTAGAGGGCGGTGTGTTAATTGTCCAGGTTTATTTATTATTATTCATTTATATTCCTACAGATACCTAATTAAAGGTAAGGTTTAATTTATTTGTTTACATATAAATGTACGTGTACAACCTAAAATAAATTGTATAATATTAAAGCACTACAAGACACAATTAGTTCAGTCAGCTCGTGACCACGTCTAGTACAACCTAGTCGAAATGACGAGAAAGGTAAATACCGTAATTTGCCATAAAATTATTCGTGTTAAGACCCGGTTAATAATATAAATAAACTACAACTCATTTCAGTCTAGGTACCCTTGTGTATACAAGTTTTGAGAGTTGTGTCTGTGCTGACCTGCGTCGTGGGTTTATGGTCGAATTTCCACCATTGGACGACCACTTATATATATATAAAATGTACAGTAATCCATAAAAAAACTCACCTTGTGATACGTATCTTTCTGCCAGTTCTTTATTTGCGTCATGACGTCATTGACGAGTCTGTCGCGGACCCCCAAGTGTAGGTCTGATAGCCTTTCCGCCTCCACCATGCCGCCCTTCCATGCCGCTTCCATTGTGCCATATTCAGGACCTGAACATAAAACAATAGCTTACTGTCTATTCAAGGGATCGTTCACCCGTTTGGCAATGATTGTCAGCCATATTTGCGGTGACAAACAATGCCGTAAATATATTTATGTATTGTCTGACGTCATCAATGTTCAGTGGAAAATTAAATTATCGGTTTCTTTTTTAAATACAATAAGAGGTAATTTATATTTCAAGGTAGATACATTATTCATTCATAATTTAAGATCGACGCTCTTGTCGGTGGAGCTCTTCCCACTTTCCATGATCTTCCATCATACTCTTTCGAAGTCACAACTACAATTTTGTCTTTAAATTACAATAATATCTTAATAATAATAAAATAACAATATTGTAACGTGTACATATTCACAGTGCAATCACAGAGTACATTTCTCTACAATTAGTATAATGTCTTTCTAAGAGAGCTTATATTAAGTTTATTTGAATAAAGATTATTTCTACACATCTGGTCGTTTCTTTTTATTCAATCATATTGTTTTCATTTCATGGAAATCCAATAATTTCTAAGTTCTTACATTATGTTCTTTATCCTATATATACAATACATAATGCAACAGTTGCCTCTGACTACACCCTCTTATAATTACATAGTAAAAAATAAAGTCGCTCTGCTGTCTGTTCGCTTACATATTTTAAACTACACAACGGATTTTAATGCAGTTTTAGCAATAGAGAGATTGATTAAAGAGGAAGGTTTATAGGTATAAAACATCCGTGCAAAACCGTGGCGGCTAGCTTTAATATATAAAATACAGTTAATAACACATATACAGTAAATAATAAAATAACATGCATACCATCCATAAATATGTTTTTAAATAATTTGATAAGAATATAATCAGTGCTAATCATTGCAGATACAAATTATTGTGTTTCATTAAACTTGAACTGCTCGATAAACTTATTTAAACATTAAAATAAATAAACACATTCCATTCAATTAGAAACAATTTACGAACTTGTACATTTGATAAAGATGTATCAATTGAACATATTTGCGGCTAGAACTCTCGTCGGTCGATCTGTTTTTAATTAATTGTTATGTGTGTGATGATTCGAGACATTGACAGTGGAGTGTATCAATTGACGATGATTTGCTATTTTATCAACACTGTGTTATGTTATAACTATGTTGTCAATATCATTTACGATATAGTCGTGTGGAATTTGACAGACTTTTATATAATACTCTTATACTATACTATACTTTTATTTTTATACATTTCTCTATGTGAGTATTTTATTGAACTGCAAGTTGGTAGTTTGTATTTACACACTTCAACTTAAAAATGTTAAATAACAACAAAATTATTTAAAAGAGCAAGATGCAAATTTCTTGCTCATTCCTCTTGTGATGAGATGTTGTTCAAATCATGTCAATATTTAAAAATAATAATTAATAAAAAGACACATGTTCGACAACCCTGAATTATGTAATTACACATGTACAGGGCGTGCCCAATCGACTGCTTAATAAACAAACCAGTCTCATCGTTGCGCGGCGGTCGGGCGTCGTAGTCGCGTCGTTGTCGCAAGCCGTAGGTACTTTCACAACTCGATTTACAGTGCAACGTAACAAGTGCAGCGAGAAATGACCGATTCGCATACCGCTCTAAATTCAATCGGGCGACACTTTCGATTTTCGAACAAGGTTTCGCGACCAGGGTTGCCAACCCCATTATACTGTAGGTATTTCCATAGGAGTTCGAAAAAAAGTAATGTAATAAATTAAAAGTAATGTTATTTGAAATTGTCACCTCGAATTGTTCTAGCTGTGACGTCACGCAAGAGATCCGTATTTTAATAAAAATATTTTATATTATAGAATAAAATAGAAATAATCTTTATTTAAATAAAATTAATACAAGCATTTTTGAATAGTCAAATAATTATTTTTTTTATTCTCATTCGGATACTGCACGTTTGGAAAATAGACTGATGACAAGAAGAATATATATAGCTATAGTCCAAGTTACCCACTAAAACATATTGTTTCAATAACAGAAAACTGACAAGTATTTTATTTATTCAGTTTATATTTTTTTAAATATAAATTTCTCGAAAAATCTATAGCAAAATTTTAATGGTAACATTAGAACAGAATCGAGTCTATCATAAAATATCTTAAAGTAATAAAATGATTACCTTTTGATTAAATAATAGAAAATTAAAACTTAAATATTTGAATTAGTTTTGAAAGAGTTTCTCAACACAAAAATCTTGCCATATTTCGCATTGCAGTACACAGAGGATGTTTTAAACTGACGTTTCTAACACCTACCATGATTCATTTGTGTAGTGATTTACCATACAATTATTTCGTGCGCGGAACGAGATGTGGCAACCCTAATTGACAGCGAAAATTGCACTCACATACGCGTCGTAATTACGGTACGCGATTCGTAAACGAACACTCGTCCGTGTACCGAATACATCAGCGGTTATCGAATCCCGATTCGGTACTCGTGATGGGCTTTCGATTTCTTTGCATTCGAATTGCAACAGGTGATGTAACAATGAAAAAATTTCAAGTGAAATTTGCGAACACTACGTGAATATAAACACTTTTTCTTTAAAAATCATAAATTTCAATTGATTTTAAACAAGCAATCTGACCAGGCTTCGCACGAGTATTTCAACAAATTGAAACAAAACTTACCTCAGAAATTAGTCAGTTCAAAAATGAAAACCGCATTTAAATGAGTTCTATAATTTATGACATTATCGTGAATATACAGACAGATACAGCGGCGAACTTTGTTTTATAATATGTATAGATATTTAAAATAGAAATAACACTAATTACGAAACTACTGTTTGTTTTATAATCTATATTAGATGTAAATTATCTAAGATTAAACTACAAATGGGGACGTCTTATAAATCAATCCAGCTATGACAATGCTGACGAAGAGAGGGAAGGGGTAGGGGGGGTAAATAATGATTAAATTCCTGTGACGTCTGTATTGATGGTCTCTAATGATCAAGAAAGGTCTTCTTAGACGACTACATATGCAACACCAATAAGCTATACGAGGACCTGTTAATTTAATTAACACTTAGATTTCTATCCTCTTTCTCTGGCGAGTGTTAGGTAAGTTCGGTTGTTGTCTGTAGTTACCAAATATGAGTAATTAGTACTCATACTTGGTAACGTGTTTGATAACGTTTATATACGTTTACGTTTATAACGTTTATTACGATAAATAACTTTAAAAAGATCAACAAAACATAATAATTTGCAAAATCACAACATTACTATATTTGAATTAATAAGAAATATATATTTATTCATTTATGTATGTATATAACTATAATATAATATATATGTATTTATTTCGATAATTTTACATCCCCTCCATAGGAACACATTATACAATTAAAACTTTGGCTGTATCAAATCGCGGCTGAAGTACTGCATAATATATTTATAATACAAAAAAAATGAGATAATAAAAACAGTAGAGAAACAAATATATTTAATAAAAAAAAAACGTGTTTGATACGAATGTAAAGAAAATGTTTGTTTAAATATAGATTTGATTATTAACGTATGTAAAAGCATCACACTTGAGAGGCAAGTCCTAATTTTAGAAATTTTTTTTTTCTTTTTTGTCAAGAGAAACATGATCATATAAAATGAAGAAAATACTTTAAAATTCTCGATTCCTCGCACGGTATAAACGTTACACGATCCGAGTTACATGTTCCAACTTATTTATTTATAGTTTTTTACAACTATTTTTGATTACAATTTATTCACATAAAACAATATAGAAAATTTCGTAAAGCCATCAATCAAAATTAGGCTCTATTAACATTATGATAAATACATTTTCACAAAAACTCTTCTTTTATAACCCCAAATTCATCGCGTGATAATAATAAGCAGGAAAACCATTATCGAATTTATTTATAATTCAATGCCACGGTTGAGCGCAAAGAAATAATCTGTGCAATTAGGAGCAGACGACTCGGCTGCAACGATTCGATTAATGAAACAACATTCCGATTGTGTAATCGATACATCGGATCGGATTACCTTCTTTAATATTCACATAATCCGATTGCGTGTTCATTTGCGAAAACTGTATTCGATTAATTTGTATAGTGGATCAAAACTAAGGTCAACAAAATTCGAATGAATAAGTTAGTAGTAGTTAGTAAATAGTAAGTTTTGACATGTATGACGGTCTCGGTAGTCTAACGGTTTAGCACACCGCCTTACTTGTGTCGCGGGTTCAATTCCTCGCATGGTGAAATTTTTTATTTCTTGAGTATAATTGTTTGTATTGATCTGGGTATTTTCTACTTATATTATATATATATTTGCAAAAAAAAAGTATCTACGTATTTATGGGACTAGATGGCGCTGTGTGAATTGTCCTGAGATATTATTACGATTATTTTATTTGGAGTTTTTTTCAAAGTCACGTTATCATGTGACATCCATGACACCATTCATTAGTTGCCATTCCGGAGAACTAAGAAATACCTCTTAACCTGTAATTTCATTGCCTTGTCAAAATGAAATACTTCGTAGCTGAAAAAAGGTATACAGAGATATCTACGTACATTACTATTCACAAAGACACACATATACCACATAACAATCTCATACTAGTTTTAATTTTATTTACATTGTTAATAATACAATATAGACTACACCTATATAGACTCGTCGTTAAAGGCTCTAACTGAATAGCAGAGAGGGTCTACTCACTATGAGTTGTAGACCGTTTTGTCTCGATTAATTTACCTTATAATTTTATTATAAGCTGCAATTGTTATAATTTTTTATTTGCTAAAAATAAAGATATATAGGTTTTCTTTTATATGTCATAAAAGAAGGTAATACTCACCCACACGGGCCTTTGCCAAGTGTGGAAGAGATTGCACTCTGTGAAGATGTTATTATTGTGGAAGTAAGAAATTTTCTGTTTATGCGACAGGTATTTAGTATTATAGCTTAAATAGATATATATTACTAGGATGAATATTTAGTGTTTGCATATTATTATATGTTTCAATATAGGGACTATGAGAGCAGTGGCAATATTTCACCTTGAATAATTAAGCAACATAATGATTATATATTATCAAACGATCGATTCATCAAATGGTTTATTGGTTAACGTGACATTCGTATATATCGATTAATATTCGCGTATAACAGTCTGACACCTTAAGCTTGTGTAATAAGTTTAAGCTGACGACATACAGCCGTACTCTTCATGGACTACTACACACTGGATCGGTATAGCAATCTTACTAATATTATAAATGCGTGTTTGAGTATAGATGGATATTTGTTACTCTTTCACGTAAAAACTACTCAACATATTTTGATTAAACTGTACAGTAATAGCTTAAATATCAGACAAACACATAGGCTACAAATTTCACAGGATGTCACCGCTAACAAAGCTAGTATTTTATAGTAACTAGGTGATTTGACAAACTTTGTTTTACTATATAAATTATATCTAATAATAAAAATCTTTGGATAGGCCCACCCTTATTTCTAAAGTAAATACCCTACAAGCTATTCAGATCTACCAAATATAATGACTAGTATATGGTGAAAAAATAGTAGTGTGTTTCAAACAAACACATTTTCTTGGATGGTTTAATTATATTCGCATAAAACAGATCATAGTTGCCAATCGCAGTGGATCGTTAAATCGATTGCGTTGGAAACATGATTGCTCTACAACCCACTGAGATAATACGATTGGCAAATAACTCAATAGCACATTCTAGTTTACACACAGTAAGCAGAAATTATATTGTTTAGTATTGATATGAAAGAATACATTAAAAATACATTAAATGTAGATATGTTTCGTATATATCTCTATGGCGATTATAAATACCGTTAACAACACACCATACAATTCAGTTAGGTGGCATTAGCGCATATTCGAAACGAAATAAAAAGCATTGTAAAATGTTATGTGACTCTAAATACAAAATGTCATAAGAATAGATAAGCCGTTTCGGAGCAGTTTTGTTACAAACACTGAGATACGAGAATTTTATATATTAGACACTAGCTACCCACCCCAGCTTTGCACGGATATACAACGTACATATAAACCTTCCTTTTGAATAACTCTATATATTTAAAAAACTGCTTCAAGATCCGTTGCGTAGTTTTAAAGATCCGTCCCTATGTATGCTACATAGGGACGGATAGACAGCGACAGCGACAGTGACTTTGTTTTATACTATGTAATCATGCATAAGAAGCCATAGAAGGATAGAAACATCAATTATATAACATCTATTCGTCGCAAATTAGATTTGATCCCGATTCGCGTCAAAAGACAGCATACAGCGAATCAAATTACAGAACCCCGCTCCTATTATTCTAAATCTAAAATTCGGCCTCGTTGGTCTAGCGGTTTAGCACACCAACTTACTTCCGATGGTCGTAGGTTCGATTCCTCGCACGGCACAAACATTTGTACTCATGAGTATGATTGTTTGTACCACTGTGGGTGTTTTCTACGTATAATATGTATTTACGAAAAAAATATATTATGTATTTGTATCAGTTATCTATCATAACACAATCTTTAGCTAGTTTAACTTGGGACGAGATGGCGCTGTGTGAATTGTCCTGAGTTTATTATTACTATTATTATTTTGGAGACGGTAAAAACGAACCCCAACTCAATTTATGCAATGCAACGAACTTGCCACTGTGATGTATCGGTCATGTAACAATAAAACAATGATTATGCCATACAAACAGACACTGTATTGAGTCATACAGCAGTTATACAAAGTGTGCTTTCATAATCGTTGCAGCTGACTACTTGAAGCGTGTTTATACATATCCGGTCGAAACATACAAATATACAAACAGTAGTAATCACATGTTCTAATAATAACCGTTTTCTCTTTTATGCTCCGCCCCATTTTGCCATATTCTCCTCACTTTATTTAAATATTAATATAATAATTATATGATAAACTGATAACAATAATATTGTACCTATTTCCGCCACTCCACAATTCTTCTCAGTAACTCAAAGGTTGACTGGAAGAAATCCCTCTTTTGGGATACAGGTCCAACATTGTATACATTTCTTTTTTAAGTCAACTGTGTCCTTTTACTTATTATGTTATTGTACAATAAATTATTACAAACAAACAATACTTTCAAAACTGTAGTCTCAATGGCAAGTGAACGCCATCCTTAAAATAGCCATACAGAAATATAAATGACTTTACTGAAATAAACTTACTATATCCACTTTTGAATAGTCATACTACCACTTTAATTCTAATATAATTGTTTAAATTCTACCACTCATTCGAAAAGTGGACTCATCACAAAAAGAACTAGCAAGAACAATATCTATTTCAAAGAACAGGACGCAACTTGCCTGTTGCTCTTTGAAATACATTTTGTTATTATATATTTTTAACATTACTTGTGGATATTAAAAAAATAAAATAGGTATATAAGCAACAAAATAAACCAGTCTTAGTTATCAGAGCTACAAATCCCTACAAGAAAGCTTGTAGGGATTTGTAGCTCTGATTACATTTCAAAAGAAAAGGACAAAAATGGATTTAAATACTGAGATTAGAATCCAGAATAGTCCTGGACTATAAAACAAGGTTCCAAAGCCAGTAGTCCTCGAGCCAGAGGCTTTTTTCGTCAATTATTTCCTCCCGATCGAAAACTTCTAAAATTGTTAAGAAAGTTTGGTTATGAAGCTTCGTGAAAGTCAGCTTCGATTCCGAGGGTGGATTGAGGCGTAGCACCCTATCAAATGTAAAAAACATTCAGTCATTTCCTTCGACTTCAAATTGCTATCAAATTTGTAAACCAATATACTGAAGACACAAAATAGACAGTCAGCTGACTATGTTTTGGTTTAACAATTTCGAAATTTTGGACCGGGAGGAAATTGGTTACCTTGACCAGTTCCTAGCTTGCGATACATAGGCAATGATACTCTAATATGTACTAACCTTTTTCAATTAGATCGTTCCACTTCTTAGCCCATCCCCTCAAACTCTTCGCGTATGTCTTCTCAATGTCGGCGCGCTCCTGCACCAGCGCTTGCAGTTCACCACATAGCCGGTGGCCGTCGTCGATCCGTCGGGTGGTACGTTTGTAGTTGCCCGGCTCCCAGAAGGAGTCCGAGGTGACTGCGAGCAATGCCTGCTCGTCGCTGTGATGAGACATGGCGGTGCGACACTCACACACCGCCCCTCTGTAACAAACATACCAAATATATAAATATGTCTTCACAATTATAGTCCCAGATGGAGTAGTTAGAGAGCCGTTTCTTTTTTATGGATGATAATGGAATGTTTTACCCGCCTGCGCTAACGGTTTACGCTGGCGGGGCACCAGTGGAGTACGATAAGACGAGCATGAGGGCAGATCAGTCAGCCCATCATGACAAATTTACAAAGAATTTATGACGATGGTTTCCAGAGGAAACCACGAAGACGATCTTTGTATTAGTTAGGATTGTTGTCGGTGGTTCAATCGTTCAATATAAATGGATAAAATTTCGGTGTAGATCAGAATAATACTCACAATTTAGGATTTAGATCGGGGTAGTGAACCCAACACACAATGCTCTCAAAAAAAAAATGTTTCTATTTATTTCTTAAATATAAAAATATTACAACAGATTAAACTTATGTATATATATTTAGTCTGTGTTGTGTTTCAATTATTGTTGCATTTCTTATAAGATATATGTATGAAGCAATACAGTCGTGAGAAATAGTTACAAGTAATACATACTTTTTATAAATGTACCATGTACACTATTATAAAACTATTTTTATTTTATTAACCTAATAGAAGCCAATACAATTATAGTTCGATAATACATAATATTATTTAAGTAATTCGCAATAAATAAATATGTTATATATACATATCTTAATTATACAGCAAAAAACCTAAAATTAAAACCTCTAAAAAATATAATATATTAACTAAAATATATTATTATATATAATAGTTAGATGTCACTTTATTTAACAGTTCAATATAAAAACCTTCACTTAAAGCTTATTGTTGACAAACAAAAAAGTAATACGTTTTCGAAGTTGCAATATCAACTAGTAGTAAAATATTTTCCTTTAAAAAAAAATTACTACATCTACTATGAAATCTAATCTATAGCCAGGTAAATAAAACAAGCAGATGAGTCGTAATCAAGTCACGTTGAACAGGTTGTTGCGTCATCGTCAGGCATTAATGAATCTTGCCTCATCGTACAAAAATTCCGCTAAGAATTGTTATGATGAACCTTTACCATAAGCGTAACTTAAGAGGAGTTTAGGATCAAATATCAAAATAAATAGTAATAACGGGTCTGCATACCTTCATCTAATACCAAACTAAACAAATCTTGTACTCGTACTATGGGTACCATATAACTGATAGACATTTATTTTTTATTTTTTATTGGGGGGATTTGGGTTATTGCCAGGTTGGACCTATAGCACTGCGACCTACATAGATGTATTGTGCTTTCCGTTTTCAGAGTTCGATACCTAGATACGTCAGGGACAAGAAATGAAGGATATTCTTAGGAGAGATGGTTTTTATCTCCTCAGGGTAGAGTGTAAACTTTCCAAAGGAGATCTTCGTTTATGCATGAGTACTATTGAGTAGGCTACAACGACAACCACATAGGATGTATACAGGTCTAAGCATCTGACACTAGGTTAAAAATCTCAATAAAAAATATATGTAAAGATAATTATAACATATGAAAAAACTCGGGTTAGTTTTACATCATAACATTGCCAGCGCTGCGGACCTGCAGTGGGCATTCGGCCCCATTCATGTTACTGTGGCGTTTGTGAATGTCAAGTTCAATGTCAGTCCTACATTCATACGACACTCGTACATTTGTTTGCAATGACAATATACATATACACGACCTCGGTGGTCCAGCGGTTATACACCGTCTTACTTCCCTATGATCGCGGGTTCAATTCCTCGCACGATACAAACATTTGTATTCATTGGTATAATTCAGTGTGGTGTTCTGGGTGTTTCCTATGTATTTACAAAACAAAATTAATTTAAGTATTTGTATCAGTTGTCTAGTACCTATCTACTACTACACTCAACTTCGACAAATGGACTATCCAGCACAAAAAGTATTTTTCTATTCGAACCAGTAGTTCCTGAAATTAGCGCGTTTAAACAAACAAACAAAAAAATTAGTCTAGAAGTATAGATTATTTAAACAATATACTATATTCTTATAAGAAAATAATACATCATTAAAAGTTATATCAACCACAAATTTTGATGGTAAACAAACAATAAATACCCAAAGAAATGCAGCATGTGATGCAGCTTGCCCCTGCACCTGCCTCGCCCCCTGTTCCGTTTGTATGTCATTTTCACTGGAATCTCGCGTGTCAACTGTTTGGCGTGTCCATCTAATCACATATAGGCTGAGATTGTTGACCGATGTTGCCACTACAGTGATTTTACCAATAGATATAGTAGATTTTAACTCGCTAAAGTTTATTGGATTTAATGCTTTGATTTCATTATAGCAAATTAAAATAATTCGGTCAGTTTAAAAAATTACAGAAATGTCAACATTAAACGATTTTGTGAACTATTTAAAGGAGTTTTTATCAATAATTTAGGATAGCTTGGTAAATAGTTCCAGATAACTACAACAGTAGTTCAACTTTGTATTTATTTAACGGGATTGGCGTTTAAACATATATAACAGAACACATTAATTACTGAATTATTTTTAGAACAACTTTCCTAAAAACAATAATTTAAAAAAAAAATTCAATCTGTTAAAAGTCGATTTTTTTTTTAATTTGAATAAAGATTTCATCCCATAGTTTAATGATTTCAGAGTCGTTTCCGAAGGTCCAGCAAGTGAGTGGGCCTACTCAAGCTCTGTTAGCAACACTGCAGCCTCAAGACTGTCATCCCACGGATGATATCAGGCAGTAAACAAACGACGCTATTCTATTCATAGACAAATTGAAGGATGCTGTAGAATAGAACGCGAATTGCCGTGTGAGTATTTTTAATGAGCGTTTCGTTTTTATTGATACTTTGGTTTTATACTTAATTCGTTTATTATGCTTTAAAAGTTCAAATATAGTTAGGTTACGTAGTATGATTATAAATTTTACAAAAAACTGTTATATTACATAACTGCAATATTTCGTAACATGTCTGTATCAAATGTAACATATAAAAATAGTCCTTAATACTATTCTATTAATTATAATTTGAATACTTAATTAGAATACAGATATTGTGGTTATTTAAATATAATTTAATGGAGATTGGAGGGACCGAATCCGATTTAAGTTAGGGTTCAAAAGTAAGTAAATAAGCTTTACTGAATTAAATATTCCATAAAGGTTTAACGAGATGCTATCTTTACTTAAGCTCGTTATATTAATTGATAAAAAAATATAATTATAATAGATTTATATTTAATATTAAGTTTATTCTTAGGGTTGTCTTTTCTTATAAATCTATTTTATATACACACATTTCACTGTTCATCATATATACTAATTTCTCTTAATATTACACAAAATAGACTAACATTCTGGTCTTTAAAATTTATAGCATTATTAGATTTATTTTATATTATACCGAAAACCTTTAATAAGCGAACAAAATTATTTAAAACTTGTTCTGTATAATTCCGGTTATATTTAAATATAAGACGCAATGGGAAAATCATTAGGAAAACGCTTAATTAAAACACACTGTGCACAAAATGCTTGCTATCGTGAAAAACAATTAAATGGTAACATGGAAAGTCACTCGTCACTGAATTTCGTACAATATGTCCACTACAATCACTTTTTCTTAGACAAATTTTCAGTTTCTACCGAGGAAACCGATTCTACGACACATAGACACTGAATGATGTGCCCCCAACTGTATGTATTAAAAACAGCACAACCCAGCAAACAGATAAAGACCTTATGAACTGTATTTCGGTGGCATTTGAGGTAAATTTCCGATGGATCGACTGAAAAATCGCTTGTTACAAGTATGCAAACACGACCTTGTAATGTATATGAGGTTGATTCATACAAGCCAGTTAACATATCGGGTGTTTAGCGCGAAACCTATTGTATTACCTAATTGTGACTCGTATTCTAACAATTGGCGTATTTATAGTCCCGAGATACGAGGAGATAACGTAAATTATGTGATGTAATTGCTACCGTACCAAAGGTAAGACTGCACGTAATTAACGGGCATTGTGTAGAATGGTTGTTATTTCATGTCATTTTGGATAGTGTTCGTGTATTTGTTAACGTAAACGCTGATGGGGAACTAGTTGAAAAAGATATAATAAAATCTATCGTCGGTAAATTCATCAGAAATTACCACGCTGACTCGCATGGCAGGTATATTTTGTAAATTCATTATGAGTATGATTATTTATATTGGTGTGATGATTCTCATGTGTATTTTTATACCACGATGATGGCAATCAAACATACGGCCCATGGCGTATGTATATAAAAAAAAACAATGTATTGAAATATTTCTATAAATCGTTTAATACTCATAGTACAAGCTTTAGATGGCACTGTGTGAAACGTCCAAGTCTATTATTATCACCAACATAAAATTATTAAGCGAATTATACGAAATAACTTTGAATTTTTCTGGGGTATGAAATCCGATACCAAGTTAGTCGCCGGAGATGATGCAAGTATCTATTATCTGTCTATCTACATCACGGTTATAGATAAGATAATTCGTTTTTATTGCACAAAAATATTTATTGTCACGAACAGAACTGCGATAACAAGATTGTAGTATGACATACATGTGTAGTACGACAAAATGTAAATTTAACGTAAATGATAAATACCAAAGAGCGTCATGGTTTACTATCCCGACTTACACCCAGAAAGTCGTAGGTTCCATTGTAGAAGACACAAAAACACTTCTTGTGTGAATTTATATTACTATTTATTGGATTTATATTATTTTGTTTCATTCCGCTCCATTAAATAGTGAAATGGACTTCCGCAAAATACCTAATTCGATTAAATAGGAATTTATATTTTTATCTGACTTACCGGTGAACGAACCGCTGATTACATACTAAAAAATATTCCTAGAAACGACGATAAACTCACCTCCTGTTACGTGAATTCAAATATACCACTGAAATGTAGTTACACATCAAATGTTACCATTCACCGTGACGTCTAT